GTGCTGCGCATACTTACCCGTTCTTGAGCAATCACGATCCAAAAAGTGTCCACACTTATATGGTAGGCCACTGTATAACGATAATCTACATACTGCATAAATTGTAAATTTGTCCAATATTTCAGTTTACACTGTCTTGGTTATTTACATGATTGGGAAAAAGGCATAGTTTGCAATGTCTTGCAATTTTTGCAAACACCTTGAATGTACATAATTCGCAGAATGATGAATATGAATTGCTAAGATTATACATCCGCAATACTATTTAATTACACTTGTTACCCAAAACAAATTTACTTTTTGATAAAGTTTCAAGTGCTCAGCCAACAGCTGTTGCAACGCCAAAAGATTTGAAATACAAATTCCTCTTGCAGTCGAAATTATAATCTGAAATGAACTCTTGCAGAAATAACGAAGCGGAAGTTTTTTTTTTTAAAATGTTTGATATATATTGGTGTTCACAGCATTTATATGCGCATAATTAATTTCCATAAAGAAAATAAATGAACATGTTTAATTATCTTTATACTCGCCAGTAGACATACTTAAAATGCTGCATTCTGTTAATTATATCAAAGCCGGACAAGAGAAATAGATAGATCAATCTACAAAGTAAATAAGATGTTCATAATTTAATTTGAAGATTACAAAACAAACCATAATTAAATTACCTTTTGTCTGCATTGATGTTCTTCCTTTCCTTCCTTCAAAATCCATCTCTAAATATTTCTTCCAATCAATCTGCCACAAGTCGCTAAAAATCTTTGATTCATATACAAATGAAAACGGCTTTGGTGGTGGGTTCTCTTCATTTAGATTGATAAGTATTTGATCAGACGCTGTAAATCTGTATTTCAAGAAAACAAAAAACAAAACTTCAATATAGAATTACATAAATAATTAGACCTTTAAATAACAAAATATTAATACGGAATATTTAATATAAGGATAATGAAGCATTAATGAAATCCTGATAAACAAAAACAGTTATAATGAATCAAAGTTTTTTACAACAAATTTATTATAATGAAATTCGATTGTGAATATATATATATATTTTTGATGTTTGTAAAAACTTTTGTCATGAACCTTGCTTCATCAACCTTGCTAGATTGTAATGGCATTGATCCTGTTTCTTTCAATTTGCTAGAATGTAATTGCATGAACTCCGTTTCTTTCAATCTACTAGATTGCATTGGCTATGAAAAAAACGGATTATCGAACATCGATATTAGTGATGACGCGTTATTTTGCTTGGACAAATCATACCATCCCATTGATTATTATGTAAATTCCAAGAAAAATCCTGGGGTTTAATGGTATGTGCTTCTAATCACCTGTTTATTTTTGTCTATAGAAGCAACGCGAACGGGGCTACGCTCAACAGTATCAATAGTCATAGGATAGGAAGAATCAGTGGTATCAGAGCCAGTGTCCGAAGTATCTGCATCAATCCCAAGACCGACGACGTTAAAATAGCGCCATGTTGCATATGGATTGTCTGCACTAATACCAAATACTTCGCGTGCTGTTAAGTTTTCTGCTTCCTTTTCACGTGCTAAAGTAGTGCTTGATTTTTCTCGTTTTTTAGTAGTCATTATGTAAAAGCAGCAACAATAAGGTCTAGACTGAAGATAAAATTCATTAAATGGCTATGATGTAATTGAAACTGACTAGTAGTATTTATGCATGATGAATTATATGACGTATTCAAATTTTATTTTCCGAGCGATGTATTAAGCATGATTGACTTCAGTTATTAATTATCTGATTTGAGTGACGCAAAGAAAAACTAGACCCTCGTGCTTTTAAGACTCAGCTCTGACCGTGACGGCAACAAATATTATGCGTAATTAAATTTAACTATGTATTATATTATACTTACGAGTTCGTTGACGTTTAATAATAAGTTATAAACTTGAAGGCCAAAGTTTAGTTTTTTCTTGGTGTCATCCTGTTGTAATCTGTCCAAACTCAGAATCGGGGCAGTTCAGGAAATATCCAATCAGAGAGCACAAATTTTGACTATTCCGGATCAGCCCGGCATGAATTCCGAAAACATGTGAAAGCAGAAAAAAGTATATTACGATGTCTTTTTTTTTTTATTCCAAATATTCATCTTTTGCAATATATATATTATGTTATTCCTTAATCTGTAGGCTTTTCTAGGCAAACTTTTCTGAAAAATTTATAAATATACTTTTGATTTATATTTTTTAAATTTTAAAATATTTATTTGAAAATAAGAATTATATTATAGTAGTATTTAATTTTATTTTATAAGAAAAAAATTTAAGTTGCTTATAAGATAAAAATATACTAATTTAAAACAATTTTGAATTATTATTATTACAACTTTTATAACTTAGTTATAAAAATTTGAACTTGTATTAAGAGCAAAATTTTTTTTATTTTTAGAAACATATAAAATTTTAAAAATTTTGAAAAAATTTCAATAATAAAAATTTGGGTTTATTTATATATACTCTAAGATATATATACCCATATTATATAACCTATATAGATTGTTATAAAATTCAAGATTAGATGTAATGTTATATAATCAAAAAATTTAAAACTAATGTTTGTTTTGACAAAATTGCTAATTTTACAAGAAATTACATACTAAACCACCTTCTGTGCATTAATAAAAGTTTTTTTGAGCGATTTTACTATATAATTATCTAAATACTAATTTTAATATAGTTTTCATTCTAACTCTAAACAAATATAAACAATATCAGTATTACTGTTTTTGTATATAATATTATATGATTAAAATAAAGGTACAAAAAATTTAATATATTCTACAGATACATTTACATTAATTCTAAAATCTATTCAGTTAATAATTTTTTTTCTTCTTTTACTATCATCTTGTATGCTCTCTAAGTTTACTTAATATATATTTTCTATTATCTATTTAAATATATTTTTTTATAGATTTTTAATTTGTATATTGTTAAGGCTTTTATCTTTTATTGAAGTTGTTGCTAAGATTTTGAGTTTTGATTCTTTTACTATCTTGTTTAAAGTTTTCTTTTTTACAAAACCTTCAATATCTTTTTCTGTAGTTTCTTGTTTAAGTAGTTCTTTCTTTTTCTTATCTTTTTGTTGTCTTTGTTCTAAGATTTTTGCTTTTATTGAACTTGTATTTTTTACTTTTCTTCTTTAATTCTTTCTTTTTCTATATATTATTTTAATGCAAATGCTCTAACAGATTCTTTAAAGCATTATATTACACTATTTGACAGCAAATTTGCACAAAAGAACAACCAATTTAATACAAATGAATATTCAATTTCATACAAAAAAATAATAATAACTTGTAATCTAATTTGAATAATCTTAATACTATTT